CCCCGAGCCACAACACCCGCCCGCCCGTGATCTCATGCCAGTCAGTCTCCGGTGACTTCTCACAACGCGGAGTTTCAGCCATGGACTCAGACAGCACGACCAGTGAAGGGCTGATTTTGCACTGGGGGAGAACGGCCCTGAGTCAAGGAAAGACAGTCTTCACAGAGACTGGGGGACATCAGTGGGAGACAAGCCCGAGTAATGCGTTCAAGACCATTCTCCCCCTCCCTCCCCAGGCAGGAGGCGGAAGAAACTACTGAGCCCTCTGATGAGGAGGGAAGCCTGCAGAGGCAGGAGATTCAGCCCCACATGGAAGTCCCAGTTGCCACACTAAATTTAGAAGCAGTGATTATAAAGACTTCGAGGGAAAGAATAGGGATGTTAGGATTTCACACTCAAACTATTGTTGGACTTAAGCGCAGAAGGAAACTGACCACCCACGCACAGAATGATTATTCAATGAATAATTACCCACCCGAAAATAAAACACCCAAAGATGGAGAGTTCAGCTCCAAACCCCAGTCTCTTTGTGACTCCCAGCTTAAAAAACAAAAAAAATGTCCCGAGTGGCGCTAGTCTCCCACGATGGTTATAAACAGGGTGTGTTGGTTCAATGAGTCTGGAAACGTGCACACTTCCTTAGTGACTGACGTGACGGCACACCCATTTCCCCCCAGCGCTTGCCAAGTGTTAACCCACTCAGTTCTCTCAAGGCTGAGACTGGAGACGAAGTCACTTTATCCCAGGGAAGGCCTGAAGGTTGGCTGGCTGGTGCTGGGTCATGTGATAAGGAGCAGCTGAGAAGAGCCAGAGCTCTGTGTCGGATGTCTGAGATGATGCAGAGTACCCTAGACATCCCGAAGCCGCACACACCCACACTTACTGTGGCATTGCCTAGGTAAGAAAGGACCATAAGTACCTACTACGAACCAAGCCCCGGCATTCACCTGCTGTCGCTGGACCAGCGAGTGCCTCCTGGGGGTGAGGCTGTCTCTACTCTGTCTGACTGCTGTGTGTGAGCAGCCATCTGTGAGTCCTGTAAATAAATATGTGATATTGAGCTGGCACTCTAAACTTAAATAAGTTAAATTCAGCGGCATGGGAGGTGGGGTGGGCGCGGAGAGGCCTGGGTGTGGCCACTTACTGCTTATAGCCAGATGAGCCCAGTAACAGCTCCAGCGTTCATAAATAAAGACCAACAAGAGAGAAAAGAGATAAACCCACAGTCTCATCATACACTCCACATCTCCTTCCCATCTGTGCCAGGGAGAACATTAACTGAGAGAGAGGAGTCTTGAAATACCACAGACCAACCTGACCTAGGGGACATTTGCAGTTTGCTAAACCCAGCAGCAGTACAGGCTTTAATTATTTCCAGATGCTCATGGAACATGGCTCAAAACAGGCCACACTCTGGCCTCATTGACCAGGCAGGCCTAACTAAGATCACACAGGGTGCTTCCTTGGACTGGAGGGATGCTCTGTGGTAGAGCAATTTCCCAGAATGTGCAAAGCCATGGGTTAGACACTTGGCACCAAACAGACACATGGGAACTAAATTTGAAATCTGTAACAAAACCCTAAGTAATCCCAATTACTTGGGAGCTAAATAGCACACTTATATCGCTAGACAGTCAAAGGACAAGTCACAAGTGTGTGAGGTCCGACAGCTACACCGCGAAGCACCTCTAGGGTGGGCGGACAGAACAGAAGGACGCTTTTCTCAGGGCCCCAGAGGCCCATAACAATTTTGTTGGACAGAAATCTGGGTGCTGGTTGGGCTGCACACCTGGAAACAATAAGGGAGAATCATGTGTGTCCCCCCAACTTCTGGTGACTCTAGACACTCCTGGCACTAACCATCCCATAGTCTCCATCCCCTCCATGCCCCTGTGGAATCCCTCTTGCTGCCTGTCAGGAGCACGCAATGCCAATAAACAAACTTGTGTCTTTCCATGGAGTCTGAACTTATTGAATAGCAATAAATTCACAAAGCTCAGCAGTTTCAATGGCTGTATCTTGTCATGTAATCCCACTACCTTATAATCTGGCTGAAGCAAGTGTGTGTGTGTGTGTGTGTGTGTGTGTGTGTGTGTGTGTGTATTTATTTCAATCTTAATTACCAATATCAACTCCCATATTACACAGCATCTAGTACACAGTAAGGAACCTGGGACTCTGAGCCGTCACCCACCACCGCCAGAGACAAGTTGGCATTCTCACTCCAAACACCCTTGCGTCCACTTTGGCCTGGGGAACTATGGGGAAATGTGCTAACCTGGCCTTTCTTTCTGCAATTTCTCACACAGTCTGAGAAAAGTCATACCGTGGTCAGTTGACTTACTCTGGACCTGCGACGATGGTCTGACGCATAAAAACCCACTAAGAAAATCCGTTGTAATGATAGAGGGAAGAGAAGGCTGGGTCATCCCAGCAGCAGCTGAAAAACACATGTATGATCATGACTCAGTGATAACTAGAGACCAGAGACAAGAGAAACTTCAGGTGGTAAGGCACAGCCAGGATAAGATCGTCTAATATGATATCCACACCAAGGACTGGACGTTTTGTAAGTCTAAATGAGGGAGGGTGCATCGTGACCACTGTGTGCGTGGCCCAGAGAACCCGACCTATAAAAGAGATGAACAGCACACACTGTGGGCTGGTCACGTAGCTCTGCTGCAGTACTTGCCCAGCGTGCACCGGGCATTGAGATCATCTCAAGAGCCTTGGGGAAGCAGACAGGGTGGGGCTCAGGGAGAAGAAAAATCCATCTATCTTTGCAAACGACCTGATAATATTGACGGAAGATTCAAGAAATTGCCCTTAGAAAAATCTATGATAGCTATCAAGTCATCTCACAAAGCTGTAGGCTGTGTGGCTGCAACAGCAACAAACAATCCATTGTGGTGCTGCGTTCAAGCCATGTAAAACTTGAAAAATAAAGTTTATAGAAGCACACACCTGAGCAGAAAGCTAATAAGACAAAGAAAGAAGAGCACAGACACCAGCACTGCTCGGAGAAATTGCCGAACTAAATAAGTACTAAGCGGACGAATAGACGAGTGTGTGAACTGTGTTGGTCAGCATCTTTAAGATGCGCCTTTCCTAAGTGGATGTACAGACAGACAGCCATCCTCACCACAAACACACGCGCGGGTGTGGGCGCCTGTGTGTGAGCTAACAGACATACACATATGTGCTGGTGCACACCCTTCATGGACGTGTCCAGACTTTAAGATCTAGAAGGAGCGGCACCAAGAGATTCCGATATTTGAGGAGGGGTGCGTCTGGAACACCCAGGGTGCTGGGTTAGAAGCTGGACCATCTTCATGGTCAAAAGGAAGATGGCCTCCCAATAAGTTCTTAGAACCGAAACCAAGCCCATCTTTACGAGACAGTACCACGGACACAGAACTTCAAAAAGGCAAAATTTTCCCATTTTGTCTCTGTCCTCGCTCGCAGCAGCATGCCTGGTTCTGTGAATGACACAGGTCAGAGATAAACAGAAGATTTTGGACACCAGGCGCCCAGGGAGGAAAGACGCAGACTGAACAAGGGTTGGCTGAGTGCCGAGGACTAGACTGCCCGACTGTCAGCCCGCCAGCTCTAATTTGCAATATGGGGATCAAGAGAAAGCTCCGGTGAGGATCTCATGAGATAAAGGCCTAGCGGCAGCCGGTCTGCAGACTGAGGTGTGGCTTCCTGATTTTACACACACTCGGGACACCTTTGAGAGGGTGACATTCCTCTGCTTTCTTTTGTATTGCTGTCCCGAGAGATTAAATTCTTGCTTTCTTTCCTTGACGATCCCAGGGAAAATTGTTTCACCCGGCATCGCGTAAGCACTAAGGACCGCGGGGCCCTGCTGACTGAATGGCCTTGAACATCTCAAGCCCCTCCCCTCGGGGCGGCCCCTCCCATGACTCCACATTCAATGGATGGAATCCACGTCTCTCTGCGAGTCTTGCCTCAGCAGAGCCACAAAGGCATGCAGCGGGATCCAGCATCTCACTTTTGTTTTCCCAGCCATCTTTTGTGGTGTGGCCTGGGAAAAGCCTTAATGAGCCTACCCCTCCACCACAGAAGGTCTGGTCGGAGGGAGGAGGCAGCTTCTTCCACCTGCGGGAGGGGAGGGAGGGGACGGGGCGGGGGGTGAGGCGGGCATCCACTCAGGCTCGCTGGAACAATGCTGCCTTCAGCCGCCAAGGATGTGGGGATGCGAGGCAAACAAGACCGCACAAAAGATTAACTTGATTCAAGAAAAGATATTTCAAAAGCCCAGCGGAGAGGCTATCCTGCTAAAATTTCAAGGCCGGCGAATGTGAAAATGCAGAGGAGGCCCCCGTGAAGCCTGCCGGGTCCTGAAGGGAGGGCCCTGAAGTCTGAACTGCAGCTAGCATGGGCTGCTAGGGCCATGCATTCTGTCCTCGTGTTCCTAAACACACGTGGAGCGACGGAGTTAATGTCAAAAGCCCGAGTCATTGTGGTTTAACCAGCTACAGAGGATGAAGTCAATCCAATCGTGAAAGCTGACAGGGAAGCCCACATCCCCCCAAACATGAAATCCCTCCGTGGGATAAATGGGGAAATGAAGGGTGGGGGCCTGAAAAGTGAAAGCGAGCTTTGAGGAGAGGCAAGAAGTTCAGCAGTCACTGACTGGGTTCCTTTGGGATGCTGCGAAATTGCTGAAATTCAAATAAAAACAATCCATTATGTTTGCTGATCTCTAATTTGCTCCTGGGACAGCAGAAGTGTGGACTGGGGTTCCCTTGCCCTGTTTTTCAGGGTGCGGCCGCTTCTGATTCCCGTGTGTCCACGTTTCTGATTCCCGTATGTAACACCCCAAAATGTAGATATTGGAGAGTGGGTTTTGCTTTGGGTAAGCCTGGCTTTGAGGGACAAGAGAAGAGAAAGATGACTTACATATAGCCAGCTTTTTCCTTGATTTGGGAAATTCCTTCTATGATTTTATTAACTCTATTTGTATTCCATCAGCCTGAACTCCTCTCTCTTCTATGCCAACAATTCATCGATTTCTTTTTTGCACACATTACTCTTTTTGCTGTATTCTGTTAGCTTATCTCACTGGAATCTTCTGCTCCTGCAGTGGGGATGTGAAAACAGGAGGGGTGGAGGAGCTGAGCTCGCTTCCCAGGAGTAGGGGCGGTGGGGTGGGAGCTCTGAGCGTGCTGGACAGCGGTGAAGCAGCGAAGGGAAGCATTTGGCACAGATTGGCTTGGGGAAAGCCTCAGACTGCATAAGGCACTCAGGCATGCTGTTACATTGTATCATCATCATCATCATCATCATCATCATCATTATTATCTAAAAACAGTGTCCCACTGGTGGGGGAAAAGAGCTTTGGGATTCTTTCAGCGGTGTGGACCTCAGGTCAACAGGAACAAAGGTGTTAAGGTCTAAGCTCGGGCTTCCTCTCCTCAGGCTCTCGGAAGGATTTCCCACCCTGCCTGTAAATGTTGATCTAGAATGTCACCCGAAGACCCATGCTTGGCCCCAGGCTGGCAGTGCTGTTGGTAGGAGGGGCACACTTGGGGGACGAATCGGGAGTGTGCTTTCTAAGGGTATGGCTTGTCCTGCCCCTCGAGTGCCAGTGCGCACATCCTCTCTCTCTCTCTCTCTCTCTCTCTCTCTCTCTCTCTCTCTCTCTCTCTTTCTCTCTCTCTCTTCCTCTCTCCCCTCCCTCTTCTTCCCTCCCTGTGTTTCCCCCTCTGTCTGTGTGTGTCTCTCTCCCCACTTCCCAGCCTCCAGGAGGTGAGCAGCCTCCTCCTCCACTCGACCTCCATGTCATTACCTGCCTCAGCACAGACCCAGAATGAAAGCCGCGGACTATAGACTGAGCCCTCTGAAAGTGGGCACAAAAGGGATTTTTCCCCCTCCATTGTGTCTCTCGGGTGTCTCGTTCCAGCAACAGCTGACAAGCACACCAGCGTGCAGGTGCTATGAGAAGAACAAACCGGATCTGTTCACTTGTCATTATTCCCTCAACCGAGCACCTCGTAAACCCTCCTCTAACAGGCATTTGGGGCCACTGAGCTCCTAGACTCTGCTAGACTCTGCTCTCTTCCCACTCATGACCCACCTGCAGCCAGCAGAAGAAACCCCGAGTCTAAAACGTGTTCCGTACCCTTGTCTGCTCACAGCAGTGCGTGTTGGACGAATACATTTCCATAATGTCTTCTACTGTCAACGGACCCTCCTGAAACCGACAGGTTGAATCCACAGCAGCCTCGGAAAGGATGGTGGATATCGAGGAACTCCTGGGCAGTAGATTTACGATGCATGGTTTGTGAGGGCCGGAACTGGCTGGTGGACGCTAGGCTTCGTACGTGGACATAACAGGACAGCACGTCATTTCTTGTTGGAACTCTGAGAGCAGAAGAGGAGGTTAAAAAGCAGCAGTCTGCTTCACTCATCTCTTGATGCGTTTTATGGGCCTCACTGTCGAGCCCCTGTCTTGACTTCTCTGAGGGGAACAACACACTGACGTTGGCCTTGAAAGTCCCATCCCCTTGATACCAACTCACAGCTGCAGGGTCCCCAGGGCAGGGCTCAGCTGGCCTCATGTCCCACTGTGAAATGTCACTGGGAGCCACACACAGGGAGTCACAGCCAGCGAGCACACAGCAGTTCCGCACTCTTGTCCTCACATCGTGATCTGGGAAACTCGTGACCTTGGCCAGTGCCAAACAGGAGGCTGGGAGGTGAGGCGAAGGAGGACAGAGATCTTCGAGAGCTGGAGGGAGGGCCAAGGTTCCTGGGCAGGCAGTTAGCTCCCAGGGAGGCCTGAAGCCCGGCTCCCGCCTGGCCTGGGGCTCAAGTTTGCTCTGCAGGAAGGGCCTGGAACTTCCTGGTCCCTCCAGGTGCCTGATTCATCCTCTCAGAAACTATAGGATGTTCTGGGGCCTCCACACCCGTAAGATGGCACACCTCAACCACTCCTCAGAGAAAAGGATGGCTTTATATGTATATTCAGAATAAAGGTACAGAATAAACATCCTCTCTGTTGATAAGTGGACAAGCTAGTGAAGTGACTGATAGGTCTGTATGTACATACATGCATCCATGTATGTATATACACATGTACACACACATCCATGTAGGATGTATGCATACACCACATGTATGCATGTGGGTGTTATGAGATGCCAAGGTAAATGCTGGAGGCTGTTCTTCATGTTTTCACTCCCTCAAACAAGTTTGTTTGACCCATCTGCATCTGATCACATGTGGGCAGGAGGTGCCTGGGCAGGAAATACGTCAGGATGTATGTTTGCCCCTGATTGGGCCTGATGGGAAATTCAGTGAATTGTGGGTTTTGCCTTTTTAAGCTTCTGCAAAACGTGAGTCATGGCCATTTCCTGGAAACCCCAGAGTGCTCCTGGCCAGAGCCAGCCTCCTGGCCAGTGTTTAGTTAAATCTTGCTTCAAATTTGGCATAAGATTGTGGTAGTGGTCTTATTTTTGACTGGTGGGATTAGCAGCATGCACACATGTACACACACATCTATGTAGGTATACACGCACATGCATCCATATAGCTATAAGGCAAACATGTACACACACATCATATATTCATTTATACACATACATTCATGTCCATATATATGTACATATGTGTGCATAAAAGTGTATAAGCACACACTTGCCCAAATATGTAGATATGCACATGCACATACATATTCATCTAACAGTTTATGCACACACAACACACATTTGTCTAAGGATATGTATCACACAAATGTACACATAAATGCACATACATATGTCAACATATATTCACAGAACAAAGGAGCATTAATGTAACATAAGGGCTCCGAGAAGTGCCAACTTCATGGAACAGATGGTATATCCAAACTTGCGTGTTCTCACGTTCTATTAGAACCACACCGTGCTCCATGGTGGATAATGTCACACATTCTGCTCTGTTCCGCAGCCAGCATCACTACGGGTTTGTCAGGAAAATGCCACCTGAGCCAGTCGTACACAACAGAGTCTGTTCCACGCCGACCTGCAGTTTACCCTGCATGCTTATTGTAAGGTGAGCCCTTACTTCTTGGGTGGACAGTTGGGAAGTTTGACCCGCATGGGCTTGTGGGTATCCAGGAATTCTGGGGTTCTGCAGAAATCCATGTGCTGGGCTTCTAAAAAGAGACAGAGAAGGCACTGTCTGCAGCGTGCTGAGAATTCCTGTCTGCAAAGACTCCCACTGGACAGAAACAACTGAGCCCAACACCCCTGAGCTGCCCAGTGCTCGCTGAAGCCTGGGAGAGCAGGCATGAGTTGTGTGCCTTAGACTTGGCTGCCATGGATGAGCTCGGTGGTAAGGTGTAGACCTCTCTCTACCCCATCCTGGGTGCTCCTCCTGGGTGGCTCCTCAACCCTAAGCAACTAAACTCAGTTGAATCATGTGTCCCCCAAAGACACATCTAAGTCCTAAGCCTGGTGAGTGTGACCTCTGTTGGCAATGGGGTCTCTGGACCTCGAGATGAGAGATGAGGGACTTTAGGGTGAGGTAGCAGTTGTGAAATGCCAGTGTATCATCAGGAAAACTTTGGCAACAGGAAGCACTAACCTTCTACATCCACCCTAACTGGCTGTAGTGAGGAGGACAGGACAACACAAAGCATGAACAGTTTGGGGACAAGTGAGCCGTGAACTGACCATAAGCAGAAATGCTCGAGCCCTTTGCCTGGCTGAGGCCGTAAGTGGATATGGAGCTGTGACGGACTCCTTCTGGGGCTGTTTGTGGCTGATGACATTCCTTTCGGACGTGGGGCAGCTTATGTTTGTTATCAAAGCTCTTAGCTGAATGATTTCTTATCTCTCTTTACTCTGCTCTGACTTGTGACTAAATTTAGGACATACAGAATTCTGGTCTTATCAGCAGCAGCTAGGAGAGGCACAGGCAGACTCCTGAGTATCTCTGGAAGGAAGGAGTGTGTCTCTGTGGGCACCATGTCCTTTGGAAGGAAAGAGTGTGGTCCTGTGGACACCATGCCCTTCAGTGTGGTCCTGGGAGGTGCTTTGTTATGGCACCCTGGGAGCTGGGCACCCTCCACTGATAACAGCCTTCTTGGGAGGGAGGGAGCTGTCCTGGTTGTTTTTTGTCAACTTGACACAGCTAGAGTTATCTGGGGAAAGGAACCTCAATTGAAAAAAAAAAAAAAAAATGCCATCTAGAGTGAGTTCCAGGACAGCCAGAAACCATCTCAAAAAAAAAAAAAAAAAAAAAAAAGCCTTTATATAAACTTGTGGGCAAGTCTACAGCACATTTTCTTGATTAATGAGTGATGTGGATAAGCACAGCCCATTCAGGGTGGGCAATGTCAACCCTGGGCAGATGGTCCTGGGTTGTGTAAGAAAGCCAAGAGAACTTCAGTTCTTGCCTCCAGGGTCCTGTCTTGAGTTTCTGCCCTGACTTCCCTCAGTGCTAGAGTGTGACCTGAGTCCACAACAATCCCCAGTTGGCACAGTTTTTTTTTCTTGCCCATATCACTGTGATTTGAGTGGTAACCATGGTGTTCCTGCATGTTCATGGGTGTGTCTACACATTCGTGGACCTCTGCACACACACACACACACACACACACACACACACACACACACACACACACAGCCAACCAAGAGCCAATGCTACAAAGCCTCACAGGCCGCTACTCCCATCCAGCTTGGGAGATAGGTGAACTGATAAGTACCACTTCTGTAATCACTGTGGGGCTGGTCAAGTCTACCCGG